GGCTCAGTCCTTCTCCCTTCCTCCGGCCCAGTCCCACTCCTCCTCCACCCCCTACTCCCCCACATCGGCTCAGAGCCCACTCCTCCCATCCCCCTGCCATTGCCAGGTCAGCCCCGGCCCACTGCCCACACTGCCGTGGTATCCCGGCTTCTCCCCACCCTTGGTCCCGGTCCTTCCCCATATATGGCCTGGGCCCACTCCTCCCCATCCCCCACTGCCACCACCATGGTGTGCCCACTATTCCCACCACTGCTGCTGCCTCGGGCCCTGTATGCGGTGATGATAGAAAGGAGGAGGGGCAGGTCAAGGCCAGATTTGGTGGCCACAACACCCCCTGTGGCATCCCGACCCTGCTCCCCCTTGCGCCACCATCACCTGCAAGGAGTAAGGCGGGGGGGCGAGGCCAGCTCCAGTGGTCTGCCCCCCACACTGCATCATCATGGCCTGCAAGGAGCAGGGCAGGGGAGAACCCCTGTTCCATCTGCTCCATTGCCCCTGCCTCCAGGGAGCAGGGCAGTGGGGAGCCAGGCCAGTTGGGCTGGCCTGGGCCTCCCTCCTACTCCATCCCCTGTGTCCCTACCATCATGGCGGTGCTCCACCGCTGCCAGCTCATGTTGGAATGCTTGTTCGCACTCTGATTGGCTGTTTGGTAGCCAATCAGAACGCGAATAAAGTATTTTGGACAGAGAGAGAGACAAACTTAGTCTTTTATAATGTTAAAGTGTACATATAGCTGTTATTTTGCTCCTTTGGGATCCTTTCCAATGAATTATTTGTGTCTCTGGCCTTGAGGGTATATCTTTACCCTATCCAGGTAACTACAGAAGAGACTGAGAGCTCAAGAGCAGCTGTGGAAGGCACTCCTGGAGGGCTTCACTGCCACATTTTTAGGTTTGGCATGTGTGAGTGAGAGTTGATGGGTCTGGTGTATTTGATAGCGATGCTTAATGGGAGGGCTGACAGTACAGCATAGATATATCTTGAGACAACTGCCACTGCAGCAGGGCAGTAGTTGATGTTTTGCCTTGGCATGCAGTTTTAATCACGTAATTTCTCTTTTCAGGTTCACAGAAATGAATCTACTTCAAGTCAGGAAGGAAATCAAGGTAACAGTTTAGAGTTAAAATGCTTCATAGGAGAAAATGGGTACACAGGGCTGACGAAACAGCTGGAGTAAGTAAATATAACTTCAGGTGATAATTAGCCCAGGAAGCACATGTTGAGAGTGTTCTAGACTAGAGATCACCTTATGTTTTTAGGGTCAAATTGGGGATGTCTCTGTACCATATACTAAGTCTCTAATTTCATTATTTTCTTGCTGCCATTGGGAAAAAAGTAGAGGCCAAAAAATCAAGCTATTACATTGAACATTTAGATGCCTTGGTGAGAAGATTGGAGAGCACGTTATTGTTTGATGTACCCAACAAGAGAACATAGAATCATCTGCACAATTTTCCCATCTTGTGCAGAATCTCTTGTGTTGCACTCAACCTGTTTCCCAGACTTCTGACTCTCTGGACATACTCTGAAATTATTATTAAAAAAACCCAGGGGAGCATGGGGCAGAGACTAAGGCTAATGTGATATGTATGATAGCTTTCAATAAACTGGTGAAAAAAATGGAAGAGCAGGAAAGAATGAAGGAAAAAAAAAAGACATTTAAGAGTTATTTATGTCCTTAATTTCTTTCCCAAAATCTTTCATTGCCAAAAAGCAAATTTGCCTAGTACAATGAGACTTTTTTGTATCAAAAGAACCCCCCCAAAAGGGACAAAATGAACTGTTTTTTACAGAAATATTTTTGTAAAGAACTTCTGATTTCTAAGTCAGTTCTAAGGCTATGAATTTAGCCACCTATTCAGCTACACTGTAGCAAAACTATAGTTTAGATCAGGGAAAACTACATTTATAAATAGGGACCTACCAAAATCGCAATGTCATTGAAATTGTGAAATCCTGCAATGTCTACAAAATCTGCAAAAAAACCCCAAACCAAACCAAACCAAACCAAACCAAACCAAAAAAAACAACGAAAAAGACAACTTATTGAAAATAAAATGTTGGCTCTCCAGGGGTACAGCATTTCTTACAGACTGCTGGGAGGCAAAGTGGGGAGGGAGGATTGCTGGCACCAAGGGCAGCCCAAGATGGCTGCCACTTCTGTCCCTCACCGCTGATTGGCTGAGGGCTGTCTCTCATGTGGCCCTGCCCCTCACTGCCAATAGGTGGAGGGGGAAGGGCCACATATCAAACAGCCCTTGCAGCCAATCAGCGGGGTGGGGGGGAGAGGACGTCTGATGAACAGCTCTTGCAGCTAATCAGCACCCAATCAGAGGTGTGGGGAGGCCCCGCTGCGATCAACTTACGAATATGGCATCTCCCCATGAAATCATCCAGTCACTTCTTTGAGTTAGGTAGATCCTTATTTATAAATCACTTTTATTATTGTAGGGTCTTGGGTCCAGCTGAGAATGGGGCCTTACTATGCTGGAGATGGTACTAACTAGTTTCTGCAACAAGCTAAATGCTTAAAAATGGTACTAAATAGTTTCTACATCTAAATACAAAAAAACCCTAGAGTATGAATTAGACTGTGCATCAAATTGTTTAGAGATGAAACAGGCAAGCCGGACAGAATTGGCAAAGGGAATGTGACAACAGCAGATGACATCTACACTGCAGGAATATCAGCATACCACTACGTGACCTCCTAAAGTCTCACAGTAGCATATAGTGGTCTCAGTGCTGGGATAAATAATCAGGGTATTGACCCTTCTGTGGCTGTTTTAAAATCTTATCCAGACACTGGGATGTCCCCAGACACTACAGTTTCCAGTTCTTCCTCATCTCATCTGTGCATGTGAACAGCTTTTATTTATTTCTTATACTTGTTCAGCACAAACTCATACAGACCTGCAAAATAATCCAGTTTGTTCAGTGTTTTTCAGTCCTTGACAAATATTGGAGCTCAGTTTGTGACTAAAGTTTGAATACTAGGGCCAGGTTTTAGTTTATCAGAATGGGTTCACCCTGTCCTAGCAATTAGCAGATTTTACATTGTTCTTCCTGAGTTTTAACCAATTTCAGCTTTTTGCTAGTAATTTATACCATTCCCCAAGGTAGTACAAATTGGGTAAAAGTCTCAATTGCTGCTGTTCATTGCTGTTCATTGCTGTTCATGTCATCTGGCTGCTGCTAACACTGTGCTCTCTTTTATATTGATGTAGAGGAGCTGATGGTAAATGAAGCAGAAAGGGAGATGGATGAGAAGGAAACGGATTGTAACCAGCTAACATTCTTCCCTGCCCTACATGAAAGTTTCCACTCCGAAGACTTCTTGGAACTGTGTATAGAAAGACAAATTATCCTACAGGAATTTGTGGAGAGTGAAAAGGTAGCATACAGTGAACTTTATTTTTTTGTGGAGGTGGCATTTCAGGATGAAGAGGGGCAGGGAAATTTGCTCTTTTAATCTGCAAAGGACTTGGAGTATACAGCAAGCAGCATTGTTAATACTGATCTGTCCCTTGCATTTTGGCAGCATCCACAATTTTCTAGATGTAGTCCAAATGCAGAGTGTGTGGTTCCACAATGTTTGAGGCAGCACCAAGGACTTGGAGTGTACATCTCAGGAGTCAAGGAAGGTTCCAAAAGCTGCAAGATAGGATGGTCAGGGCTAGGTCCAGACATGGCTTATTCAAGGCTCCTGTCCTCTTCTTCCACTGCCAGAAACCTTTCCTGACCTCCTGAACAGTGTCCTCAGTACATGTCACTCACCACCTCCATAAGAACCCACCAGTTTTGTAGAGGTGACAGTCCCTATAAATGCTCTCCTCTACTTCTGATTCAATAGGAGACTTTTCTATTCTCCCCTGCTCTCATCTGCCCTTCCTCTCCTTCCCTTGATCACTGGACCAGACTCCCACCCTCTGAGTGCCGAGTGTTACCTGCTTTCTTCACATGGCTTTGCTTCCAATCTTGACCTTCCCCTATAGTGTTTTCCTGCAGTAAAACCCAGAAGACAAGGGAATCAGGGCCTATAGACTGGAAACATGAAGTTGTGGTAGAGGAGAATTAAGGCAGAATTGGCTTTTCCAGCAGTTCTAACCTGACCCTTTTGCCAGCAGCCAGAGGGACTTTCTTGCTAGATCATTCTCACAAAAGTCATTTCCAAACCCTAAGAAGGGTGATAGTCCACGATCAGAGTGTTTGGCCATAGGGAACCCCAAGGGTTAGCATTCCACCGAACTCTAATAGTGAGAACATCATTTTACGGTCTCTGTCCTCACAATGCTTCAATTGCTGTGCATGAACGTATGAGAGAGTGAGCTCTGTCTTTTATTTGTTATGTCTTATTAGTGCTGCCAGATTTGCTTGGTGCTTTTCCAATGTCCAGGGGTCGCATTCTTTATCTTGAACATGATGGCTTCCTTGTCCCGTTAGAGCTGTTGATACTGTGTACAACAAGGCATCATAATTAAACTTCTGCCTCCTTTCCTTCAAACCCCAGCAGAAAGAGAAGGGCATGAAAATGTGACATGTATTTCCCATACATAGCCCTGGTCTCATTTCGAGTCTTCAGGCTCTCTCTGTCTTCCATGTAACTCCACAGGAAGCTGTCAGAAATACCAGACACGTCTTTCCAGCAGCAGCCATTGTACTGCTGAACTGACAGAAGTATTAAAAAAGCAGTAGGGGGTGACATTAGCTGTCCCGTGCTCACTTAGTGCGCCACAGTCCTGCCTTGTAAATGACTGCCTCGTGAGCTGTTTGCACTCTAACCACACAACTGGAACCCGCTTACCTAATGCCTTGAACAGAGATGTCATTGTGATGCCTTGGCAGCTAGTAGATTGATTTCCGTAGCACAAGACTGCCAGGGCTCTGGAAAGTACTTGCTGTTTTATAATGTTGCATAGGGTTTTACTGCAATACAATCAAAGAAAAACCTTTGTAACTATCCAGTTACATGTACTGGCTTTACCGAGAGATAAATTGACAAACTCTCTGCTGATGTAATACCAATGAAGTGAATGATATTACTCCCAAAGGACAGTTAGCTTGATCATTCAGATGTTGCTTCTGTTGGTGCAGATCAGAAGGAAAACCAATGAAGTCAGTGTAGTTACAGAACTGTCAAACCAGGGTAGCTGAAATCAGAATCTTCTCCCTTAGGTCTGATTTGTTGTTTTATCCTGTTGTCAAATTGCATACAACACACAGATTGCTGAGGCTATTATGCATTATGTGAATTAATTGTACATGTTAAAATAAATTACATGAACAGCTTACATGGCTTTCTCATTCAGAATGCCCAGAGGAAGGAACCTGATAGGAAAAATCCAATGGATGAGGATTGGACATGGAATAGAAGCAGATGGGGGTGGTGTGTCAGCAGTTGTGCAGGAAGGAGGAATGAGGGAGGAGAACTGGCTGTAAACTGTCTGAGACAGGGCCTTTGTACAGCACCTGGCACAACAGGGTCTGAATCTAACTGGCTTCTAAACACTACTGTAATAGGTAGGTTAAATGTAACACAGGAACTACATTAAAAGAGCATTATTAAGGTTGTAAAGTTAGGTATCCCAAAGCTAGGAAATTCCAAAATTGAGGTCACCTGTTCAGCCTTAATTCACCCCCTTTATCCATATGCATTATGATCAAGTGTTTATTCATAGATTTATAGATTGTAAGGCTGGAAGGGACCTTGAAAGATCATGAGGTCTGGCCCCCTGCACCAAGCAGGAAAGACAACTGGGGTCAAGTGACCCCAACAAGGTGACCATCCAGTCTCCTCTTGAAGATGTCCAGAGTAGGCGATTGCACCACCTCTGGAGGGAGCTTATTCCACAGTCTGGACACCCTGACTGTAAAGCAGTTTTTTCTAACGTTGAGTCTGAAACAGTCTTCCAGGAGTTTGTGGCCATTACTTCTGGTTTTCCACTTGGGTGCCCTGGTGAAAAGCTGTTCACTGAGCCCTTGATGTACTCCCCTAACGTAGCGGTAAGCTGCTAGCAAGTCCCCTCTGAGCCTTCTCTTTTTTAGGCTGAAAAGTCCCAGATCCCTCAGCCTTATTTTGTATGGCTTGCCTTGCAAGTCTCTGATTATACAGGTAGCTCTTTGCTGGACTCTCTCAAACTTGTCCACGTCCTTGTTAAAGTGTGGCACCCGGAATTGGATGCAGTACTCCAGCTGTGGTCTCACCAATGCTAAGTATAGCGGAAGAACGACTTCTTTGGTTTTGCTGGAGATGTATCAATTGATGCATGCCAGTGTATTATTTGCCCTACTGGCTACAGCATTGCACTGCTGACTCATATTCATACTGTGGTCTGTGCTTAAATTATAATGTGCTGTTTCTTCCATAGGTACCTGGCATCATTCAGTACACAGAATAACTGGTGCTCACTGAATAGATAGTTAACTCAGTATGTTGCTTTCCTCTCATTGTTTATTGTGCGTTGCCAGGCCTTATTAACTGTACAGTATTCAAGCCTTGCACTTAAAAAAGAACAATTAATTTCCTCATGGGCTTTCCAAAGGTGTATGGCACTAGTATTTGAGTGCCTCAGGCATTACTTTGTCTTCCTCTGAGGTGGGTCAATACTGTATCCCTGCCAGATGGGAAACTGAAGCCTAGAGAAGTTAAAGTTATTAGTATTCGCTAATTTGGGGCACCCAAATTTGGGAAAGTTAGGACCTCACTTTTCATAGTGCTTAACACTACACGTGCTGTTTTTTTCTTTCTCACTTTGCTTCTGTCCTCTGGTTCAAAGTTGTTTCATGTTGAGCTGCACCCAGTGCCAGATGTTCCCCTCAGATCAGACGAGGATGCTCCTCCCAGCTTTCTACCTTGATGTCAAATGACTTCATATAATTTTTGCACACATCATGGTACTGCCATAGAAGGTGACCCCACTTTCTAACACCATCTTGAATCTCACTATAATCTCACTATATAAAATATTCTTGGGGATACAAACTTTTCCCATTCTCCTGACATGTCTGATGTATCACAACCTCCTCTTTTTGATAGTGGTTTCTAAGTGTGTCCGTCCTGTACACTCTAGTGTCTCTGTGTTTAATATTCTGTCTTGTCACTTTATAGTCAGGATCTTATGCAGACATCTCATGTGGAAGCTGTTCAGTCTCTTGATGTCCCTAGCATACATAGTCCATGTTTCTGAACCCTAAAGGGACTCAGCCCAAAGGGGAGGGGAGTTCAGGATGTGTGGTTGCTCAAGGGAGCGATCCTCAATGCACAAGCAAGTCTATCCCATCTCAAAGGAAAGGCAGCAAAAGGGCACAGCAGCCCCCATGGCTCTGCAGGGAACTAGTGGATCTCCTGTGTCTAAAAAGAAAGGCCTACAAAGGATGGAGGATGGGATCCACCTCCAAGGAGGAATATTCTGCACTGATCCGGACCTGCAGAGACCAAACCAAAGAAAGCCAAGGCTGCGAATGAACTCCAACTGGCTATAAGTATCAAGGACAATAAAAAGTCCTTCTTTAGATATGTGGGCAGGCGGGGGAAAAGCAAGGGCAACATTTGTCCCACCTGATTTAGCAGGAGTCCACTGACAACCGACACCCATGAAAAAGCCAACTTGCTAAATGGGTACTTTCACCAGTCCCAAGGGACGCCCTTGCCCATTATGGAATGGGAAAGCCTGGGTGAGGGAGATTCCTTACCCTCCATCAATGCTGACCTTGTGAAGGAACACCTTGAGAGGCTGGACACCTTCAAGTCAGCCAGCCCTGACAGCTTACACCCCAGGGTACTCAAGGGGCTATAGAGCATCATAGCCCAGCCCCTGGCATGGATTTTCTAGAACTCCTGGTGCTCTGGTGAAGTGCCTGAAGATTGGAAGAAGGCCAATGTGGTGCCTATCTTCAAGAAGGGGAGGAAAGTGGATGCAGCAAACTACAGGCCCATCAGCCTGACCTCTATCCTGGGGAAGATCCTAGAAAAGATTATCAAAGAGACCATTCTCAACAGACTGGCCGATGGCAAAATCCTGAAGGATAGCCATCATGGGTTTGTTGCAGGTAGGTCTTGCTTGACCAATCTTATTTCCTTTTACGACCAGGTGACCTACCACTTGGACGAGGGGGAAGAGATTGATATCATATATCTTGACTTTAAAAAAGCCTTCGATCTGGTATCCAATGATCACCTCTTGGCAAAACTGGCCAACTGCGGCCTCGGCTTCTCCACGATCTGCTGGCTGGGGAATTGGCTATGTGGTCAGACCCAGAGAGTGGTGGTTGACAGAAGACAATCATTGTGGTGCCCTGTAACCAGTGGGGTCCCTCAAGGCTCTGTTCTTGGGCCTATATTGTTCAACATCTTCGTTAATGATGTGGACATTGGCGTTAGAAGTGGACTGGCCA